GAGAGCAGAACGCTTCAGAAGGGTGTGTTACAACCTGTTATGGGGAACAGTAGAAAATCCCCTTGTTGCCAGTGTCTTGAAGCAAAGGAAAATTATCTTTACAAAGTGCTTCAAAAATACACCTTATTGATTGGTCTGCTCTGATGGGCAAGTTGTAAATATAAATCTTTCCTGTGACATAGATTGGAGTAGGGAAGTAGCTGGCCAGTCATTAAACCCCACTGAAAGGTCTCCTTGTGACCATTATTGCTGCCAAGGAAACAGTACTGATGGAGCCCAATCTTCATCTAAACAAGACTATTATTGCTATGCCTTTTTTGACATGTGTTGTCCTGTTAGAGAAGTCTGGACTATCTGAGCAGCTGAAGGATGGGGGAGTCTTCCATTTGCTTCCCTATCTGGAAAAGGAGCTTCAGATACAGTCACAGGTTGCCATTGCTGGTGACACTAGGCCTGTGCGAAACAGCTGGTATTCACTTTGGATTCAGATTCAGCCGATTCAGGGGACACTGATTCGATTTGGTGATTCGAATGACTGTCCCGAATCAATTCAGCTGAATCTGATTTGGATATCCGGCTGCTGCTGAATCGCCGAATCTCTGAATCACACAGGCCCCATCCCCCACCCGCTCTCAATGACTGTCCGGCCCACCCCAGCTCTCCTCTCTTTGAAAAAAAAAAAGCATGCAGTCACTGGCTCCTGCCTGGCTGGGGGCAATCCCTGTTGCCCCCACACTGCTCCATGCCATGTGGGGGGGGCTCTACCAAAAGCCCCCTAGCCCCCACCCATTCTCCCAGCCCCCGCAATGGCTGCCCCACCTGCCCCAGCTGCCAGCCCTTCAAACAAAAACAGAAACAAAAAAATCCTGGACTCACTGGCTGCTGCCAAGCAGGGGGGCAATCCCTGCTTCCCCCCACTGCCCCACAGTGTGTGGAGGACTCTTCCATGAGCCCCCAGAAGCCCCGAGGCTGCTGCAGCAGCCAGTGAGTGGGGGGCTTTTTTTTTTTTTTTCCGGGACCAGGGTCAGGCAGGGCAGCCACGGGGGAGGGGGACCCGGGACAGTGGGCAGGGGTCCGGCGGCTCATGGCAAAGCCCCTCATGCAGCGTGGGGCAGTGGTAGGTAGTGGGGATCACCCCCCCCTCCCCACTTGGCAGCAGCTGGTGTGTGGGAGCTTCTTTAAAAGCAACTGGGAGCTGGAGCAGGCGGGGCAGCCATGGGATGCCCTCCCCTGCCCCCGCCCCCTACTTACCAGCATGGATTCCTGGTCCAATTCCCTTCTGCAGCCAGCGGGGACTGCCCGAATCACTGACACTCTCCAAATCTTCTCCGAATCAATTTGGAGAGGTTCAAATCAATTCAGACCTATTATTTGGTCCCCTGATTTGATTCAGATTTGGAAATTCAGCCACTGAATCAGATCAAATCTCTTCCAAATCGAATCAGCACCTGAAGCTTTGCACAGCCCTACTATTCACCTGTATTCAGGGAGATGGCAGAGAAATACCTTGGGCTACTCTCCCCACAGTGGATGGAAGCCCCCATGTTTTGGCATGCTGCACTGCAGAGGGAGCAGGGGCCCTGTTCAAAACCCCTTGTTTTGAAAACATGAAAGCAACCAGCAATCTTCTTTGCACACTTTTAAAGGGACCGTGAGGACCCTGCATGCTTCACACCAAATCAGCAGGGGTGCTGATCCTTTGCCACTGCTGTGGGGTCAACAGAAGTGGCTGGTGTACCTTCCTCCCAAGATATTAGCTCCATTTACTTCTATGCTTGCTAGAGAGGCTTCTTTCATATTCCATGCAATGTAGTGGGAGTTTCTGCCTTCCAGTGTACGTATAGCTAGGTTGGCTTGGTACAACTACCAAACTTGTTAAAATTTAATTTTCCCATTCCACACTGGGATGAAAATGGATTTTTTTACAGAAAAAATAGCAAGCATAGAGAATCACCAGGCACATGGGAAATCCAAGTCCAAGTCCTTGCTCCACCTAATTCAGAGTAGAGACTTGAACCTGGGTTTCCCACCCACCCACTATATTGACTACCAGGCTCTTAGCACTTCTGCAGCAATGGGCTGATCAGCAACTGCATTAACTGAACCTGGGCCATTCCTACAAATGGTTTAGCTGTACGCAAACTAGCATTTTTGGTGAAAAAAAGAGTTTTAAGAAATTCACAATCAGCTTTTCTTGCAGTCCCAAGTATCCTGGAGAGATGCCTGTCATTGGGTCGTTCTTCCAGCCAAGGATATGCTATCATTGCAGCCAGCCTGTGAACATAAACAGTGTCATTCCTCTGGACTGTAGACTTCCACCTTTACTGCCTCTTTACTTGTCCCTCCTTTACTCCCAGCAGCTGCTGACTCAGAGCACAGAGGCAGCTTGGAGCCAAACAAGCCCTGGTCTCCTCTTTTCAAACTCTCTAATATAGTCCCAGAAATGTTTATAGTCTCTCTTCTTATCCCTGACCTCCAGCTTTTATTTGCATACGTAAATTTTGTTTTATTCTAGAACTACAAGTTTCATATCAGGGCAGTTCAATCTTTATGAGGATAAAGTGTTTGCAGTGCTCTTAAGCTGCTTAACGTAAGCATGCATGTGAAAGATTAACAGCTTTATAAGTCAGAGTAGTTAAGTGACAATATAAAGAGAAAGGGAAGGGGAAAACATCATCAATCTGAAGCAGCAGTAGGACTATCTAGGACGAATTACTGAATGGAGCTTGCTGCCAAGTCCAAGGCAGGATCTCAGTCAGACCCACAAGTGACTGGTACAGGAGCCATCTCATGGGAGTGAGGAAAGAGATCAGTTTAAAGGATTGCTTTCTCCAAAGTCCTTGAACTTCCAGGAAAAAGGAAACTTTCTAAATATCTATTGGTATCCTGTTCAAAGCAGACCACTGAGTGGAGGAAAGAAGGAAGGGAAAAAGGCTTTACAGAAGTAAACATATGCTTCCTAAGGCAGCTGCAAAGCCCTCTTAAATCAAAGGCAGCCCTCAGCCTCTGTGCACACCAGAAGGGTCAGCACCAAGTTGTCTTCCTCTGTACATAAATCATCTGTTGATGATGCCTAATGTCCCTTTCTCCTAATGCTATGGAATTTGCTTTTGAATGTTCTTACAGTAGACTTCATATTGAGCCAAATTCATTAAACCACCAATGGACAGCTCAGCCAGCTTGAGAACTGAGGCAGCTTGAGAACTCCAGGGATGATGCAAAGGGAAGCAAATGCAAAGGTAGCCTGAGGATACCACTAAGGGCCATGGCACCATTTTTCATCTGGCTTACATTGTCTTCTTCTCCACTACAGTCAAAGCTACACTGAAGGTTTTAGTTGTAAAGTGTATACAAAGTATATATGGAGGAGAAGAGGGTCAGGCCAATTCTATCTAGTTTATATCTAGCATGAATTCTATCCATTCTATCTAGCTTATTAACACAAAGGACGTATTGGACTCTATGCCTTTCACTGGACTAGAGTCATACAGCCCTCAGCAAGTTATGTAAATATCTATGCTTCAATTTATATGCTACAGAGAGATATTAGTGCATTTTTATAGGGCAGGTAGCAGAGTATGTTACATGTGTTATTATAACATCAGAGATTCTCTGATGAAAGCATCTCTGTAAGTGTGAAATATTATGATGCAAGTGGGAATTGACCAGTCAGCTCCAATCTGGCATCGCAGCCAGAAGGAACCTACCTAAATCGTGGTTTCATGGATTTCACAGTAACTGCAAAAAAAGGTGTTGTCTGCAATCCCTGCAAAATTTGGCATTGGCTGTGACTTTCTATGAAATCAACCCCCCAAAAAGTTGTAGTGAGGTAGAGAGAGAAGAGCCAGCCTCTGCCAATAAGTGGTGAGGGGTGAGGCAAAGAAGGCAGTAGTGATGTAGACTGAGTGAAGGCACCCTCTGCCAATCAGCAGTGTGGGGCAGGGCCATTGGGGCCCCTTCACCAATCAGCAGTGAGGAGTGGGGCTGCCAGGAAATGCCTGCAAAATGGGCTCTGTGCACCAGTAGCAGGCCTTGAAAAACCCATTGTGTCAGCACAATTTAGGTAGGTGCTTAACTATGCATCACAGCTGAACTGTGACCACAAAATAGGAAGTATGAGTCAGGGTAAAGCTCTTGAGAGCTGTTCTGGAGATGAATGAATAAAATGCAGCAACCATTTTTTTGTCAATGCCAGAGCATGATACATCTGCCAGGCAGAGGAGATGGCCTTCACAATACACTCAGGTGGAAACTGAGTCATCAAGCAGACAATGCTTGAAAGTTGAGGATGCATTGTTCATTTAGCTATCAACTACAAGCAGCAGCTGGAGCAGCTTGGCAGCCATATAGAATCCTCTATGCATTTGTCATGGATTTCCTTTCCTGGATATAAAAATCTCTCCTTTGAGCTTGAAGTGAATATCAAAGGCCTCTCCTTCTGATCACAGATTATATCTTT